AAGAAAAATTAATATTAGAATGGAAAATAGAAATAGAAAAACAAAAGTTTGACTTTCCTTTCTTTACATGGTTAACATTTTACACATCAAAATTAGGAATAAGTGATGTTTATAATATTCCACAAATAAATGTTCAAACTAATTTATATAAAAAATGGAAATTGAAAGATGATCAAATATTAACATCAATACACCCTCCATTACAAGAAGTAAAAATTAATCTAGGAAAAGGAGAAGTAATAGCCTCACCTTTTAAAAAGGGAAGAGAAGCTGAATCAAGTACAAATAATTCAATAAATCTTGAAGATCTTAAAAAAGTTTATCAACAAAATAATTATACAAATCAAATTCTTCATACAATATCTCAACATATGGAAGTATTAAATACAAAAATTGATACACTAAAGAAACCAGATTTAAAATTCCCAAATGATATATCAGCACCTCATTTTCAACCTAGAAGTCTGACAAGAGAAAAAGAACAAGATTTAGTACAAAGTATTAGTACTCAAAAGATAAGTAATACAGATAATTTATTAAATAAAATATCTAATGCATTACAAAATCTAACTACAGATTCAAAACCAACAACACCCAAAATAAATACCTTAGACCAAATAATAGAAGAAAACTCTACTGAAGAATTAGAAGATTTATCAGAAGAATCAGCAAATTCAGACATAGAAGAAAATATACTTTTACCAATAGAAAATCAATTTGAAGAAGAAAATAATCAAATAAATAGAATAAAAAGAAAGAACTATAGTAATAATAAAAATTGGAAAATGGTAAGTTCAAAAAATTATTATCCTAGACCAAGTCCTCCAGATATTCAATATGAAGAAAGATCAAAATTTAGAACAACTAAATATGATGGAGACTCAATATATGAATGGAACATAGATGGCAAAGCAGAATATGAAGTATTAAACAATTTGCAAGAAATGGGAATGGCGAGATTAGCCTATAAAATTAAAAATATTCAAGAAAGAAATATTGCAACTTTATTAGTCTCAGGATTTACTGGACAATTAAAGAATTGGTGGGATAATGCTTTAACATTACAAGATAAATTATCAATATTAGATCATACACAAGAAATAGAAGATGATCAAGGAAATATTCAAATACAGTCAGATGCTGCAGAATTTTTAATAGTAACAATAGTAATGTATTTTATAGGAAATCCTAAAGAAGAATTAAATTCAAATAAAACATTCTTAACAAATTTAAGATGCCCAACATTATCAGATTTTAGATGGTATAAAGATATGTTTTTAACAAATGTATTAAGAAGACCAGATTGTAATGCTTCATTCTGGAAAGAAAGATTCATAACAGGATTACCAAGTTTATTTTCTCAAAGGATAATGGATAATTTACAAAAGGAAATGGGAACAGATGTAATTTCATTCGAAAATATTACTTTTGGACAATTATTTGCTTTTGTGAAAAAAGAAGGATTAATATTATGTTCAGAATTAAGATTACAAATAAAATATGGATCAAAACAAAAAGAAGTAGGATCATTCTGTGATGCATTTGGAATTAAACGAATCAAATCACCATCAGCATATAAAAAGAGAATTAAAAAATATTCCAAGAAACCAAGATATATAAAATCTAAGGAAAATGAACCAACTAAAAGAAAGAAATTCATTAAAAAGAAAATTGTTTGTTACAAATGTGGTAAAATAGGACATAAAGCAAACAAATGTAGATTAAAAGAAAAAATTACAGAAATCTGTGTAAATGACGAAGAAATTAAAAATAAATTAATAAATTTGTTAATAAATGAAAAAGATAAAAGTTCTGAAGAAGACTATTATGATGATATTACTAGTTCCGAAAGTGAAGAAGATTGTAACTGTAATCCAAAATATATAAATGTTATAACTAAAAAAGAAGATAAAGAATTTTTATTAGATATAATAGAAAAAATTGAAGACCCAATAGCTAAAAAAGAATATTTAGAAAGATTAAAAAGCTTAATTATTCAAGAAGATAAAATGCCAAAGATAATAGAACCCTTTAGCATTTCAAAATTAATAGATAAATATCCAAATATAAATATAATGAAAAAAGAAACTACTAAGGATCTTCAATCCGAAATTAATAATTTAAAAATACAAGTAAAACAATTACAACAAGAAATCATAGAATTAAAACTAAAAGATTTGGAAATAGAATCAAAAATAACATTAATAAATAACAATCAACCTTCAACTTCTAATACTGAAACGAATGAAATATTAATAGCAGAAAACCCAGTAAGAGAAGACCAATATATAAATACTATAGAAAAAATGACTTTTCAAAAATGGTTCGCTTTAGTAACTATCACAGTTGAAGATTTCAAAGAAACATTTGTAGCTCTAATTGATAGTGGAGCTGACACAAGTTGTATTAAAGAAGGAATAATTCCAACTAAATATTGTGAAAGAACAAAAGAAAAACTAATGGCAGCAAATGGAGAAGATTTAGAAGTAAAATATAAATTTACAAAAGGATCAATATGTAATAATGAATATTGCATTAGACATAATTTCATAATTGTAAACAATATGAATCATGATGTTATATTAGGAACACCTTTTTTAATTCAAATTTATCCATTTTTAGTAAGCAATGAAGGAATTTCAGTAAATATAATGGGAAAAATCATTACCTTTAAATTCTTAACTCCAATAAGACAAAGAGAATTACAAACCTTACAAACATCTTCAATATATAAAACAATAAATACCACTACTAAAGTACAACAACAAATAAACTATATTAAAGAAGAAAAATCTTATTTAAAAATTGAGGAACAACTAAATGATATTAAAATACAAAAAAGAATATCAGAATTAGAAGAATTATTTAAAAAAGAAATTTGTGCAGACATTCCTAATGCTTTTTGGGATAGAAAACAACATATGATAGAATTACCTTATGAAAAAGATTTTAATGAAAAAAATATTCCAACAAAAGCTAGACCAATACAAATGAATGCTGAGCTACTAGAATTTTGTAAAAAAGAAATAAAAATATTAATAGATAAAGGATTAATAACACCTTCAAAATCACCTTGGAGTTGTGCTGCATTCTATGTAATGAATCAAGCTGAAAAAGAAAGAGGAGTTCCAAGATTAGTAATAAATTATAAACCTTTAAACAAAGTTTTACAATGGATTAGATATCCTATTCCCAACAAAAAAGATTTGCTTAATAGATTATTTAATGCAAAAATATTCTCAAAATTTGATATGAAATCAGGATATTGGCAAATATTAATAGATCCAAAAGATAGATACAAAACAGCATTTACAACACCTTTTGGACATTATGAATGGAAAGTTATGCCATTTGGATTAAAAAATGCACCATCAGAATTTCAAAATATAATGAATGATATTTTCAATCCTTATAGTTCATTCAGCATAGTCTATATAGATGATGTATTAATATTTTCAGAATCATTAGAACAACATTTTAAACATTTAAGTATATTTCTAAAAATAGTTAAGAAAAATGGATTAGTTATTTCTGCTCCAAAAATGAAATTATTTCAAACAAAAATAAGATTTTTAGGACATAATATATATCAAGGAACAATAAAGCCAATAAATAGAGCTTTAGAATTCGCTACTAAATTTCCAGATGAGATAAAAGAGAAAAATCAATTACAAAGATTTTTAGGATGCTTAAATTATATAGCAGATTTCTTTCCTAAATTAAGACAAGAATGTTCTATATTATTTAATAGATTAAAGAAAAACCCAAAACCTTGGACAGAAGAACATACTCAAAAAATAAAATATTTAAAAGCAAAAATAGAATCATTACCATGTTTGTGCCTACCCCATCCTAAAGCATTCATGATAGTTGAAACAGATGCTTCAGAATTAGGATACGGAGGAATATTAAAACAAAAAATAGATAATTCAAAAGAAGAATTAGTTAGATTTCATTCAGGAACCTGGTCAGATCCTCAAAAGAATTACTCAACTATTAAAAAAGAAATTCTATCTATAGTTTTGTGTATATCAAAATTTCAGGATGACTTATACAATAAGAAATTTTTAATTAGAATAGACTGCAAATCTGCAAAAGAAATTCTACAAAAAGATGTTCAAAATATTATTTCAAAACAAATATTTGCTAGATGGCAAGCTATTTTATCTGTATTTGATTTTGATATAGAATTTATTAAAGGAGAAAATAATTCTTTACCAGATTTTCTAACCAGAGAATTCCTACATTGGAAGTGATTTTTCTAATTCTTGATGAATTTTGAAACTCCAACAAAAAAGACAGGATCTCATTATCTAAGATGAGTTGAGCTGAAATACAGAGCAGAATTGTCTATGTACTCTTTAGTGAAAAATGTAGGTAACTGCCAGAGCAACAAGCATCAGGACATATGCTATTCCTTGATCAACCGAAACCCCTGCAGCAGAAAGAAATTTTTACACCAGATTAGAATCAGCAGCACTTGTCACATAAATTATGCAAGAGAACGCTAAACATGAGACCTTGAGATTTGCAGCCCTAAAACCAGCGGAAGAGAAAAATGTTGCCAAAAACTTTGGAGAGAGGGGATGGAGCATACCATCGCTTGATGGGGAAGGTGCAGGGGCAGGAACTTGAGCAGCATTGGCGGAAGGAAGCAACAGAGAGAAGACGAGGGCAATGGTGATCATAACAAAGCATATCCTGAGCATTTCCATTTGCCACGATTTAGAGGTACGAATTTCCTACCACCCCCCTAAGCCTATGCCTGATGTGGCTTGTCTTCCTACTCCTTCCTTCTTCACTCTGAGACTATTTTAGTCTATGAATTCATTTGAGGTTTCCTACTCCTTGCTTGATTGATTGAGATTAGGGTTTTTAAGGGTGTGGGACTCTGAAATTGAAATTGAAAAGTGACGTCTACCAATATGTTTTGTTGTTGTTTTTGCATAATTTTCTAGACCCATCTGGGCCGTTGGCTTATTGGAATGAATTGAATCCTTCTGCTATGGCTTTTATTTTGCAGATATGAGGATGCCTTTAACAGATTTGTGGATGAAATCAACTGTTTAGCTTATTACCATTGGTGGGAAGGTTCAGTTTATAGCATTTTTTCTGTTTTTATGTACCCGCTTGCCTGGTCATGGCTTCAGTTCTGCCGGAAGAAAAAGATACAACAACTACGTGAATTTGTTCGATCAGAATATGATCATGCTTGCTTGCGCTCTTGCCGTTCACGTGCTTTGTATGAAGGACTGAAGGTTCATCAAAACCACTTCTTCCTCATTGACAATTTGTGAATATCAATTAGCTTGTTGGTCTATGAACTTGCATTGATTTCAGGTCTTAGTTACAATAGTTGCATTGATTTTGGAAGTTTGTCTTTCACTCCTGAATAAGTACATCAAAGATGAGGGTGACATGGGAGTTACCGATGAAGGATTTCAATCATATTCTTAAGCAAGACTATTGTTATTGTATCCTCATAGAGTTCCAACTTTGAAAATTCTGTTGCGGCTGGGAAAGGTGGGGTTGTTAGGAGTTGAATTACGAGTTTTAGCACATTTCATTATTGGAAAAAGATATTGAAATTTTATTAGTTATTCAGAAAATTTTTTTCCCTCCAGAAATTTTCCTCGTATTGAAAGAAGTGTGAAAAAGGTGAGAGAACGGCAATGGAGAATTTAAAATGCTTAAACCCTGGAATCCTTTGCTATGACTTGATCACTGATACTGTGAGCAGATCAAGAACTAGATATTTGTCTGGCAAAAGCATAAAAACTGGAAGTTTTGGAACTACTGCTATGGTGGAACAGCAGGTAGCATTATGCATAGCACCAGCCAAGAATGTGCCATTTTGGTGCTATGGAACGAGATGCTGCATTATGGCGTAGTCACAGCCATTTAAGTGTTTCACAGTCACCTTTGAATTAACTTTGGCTAAGGATGCTAGGGCTTCAACAGGAAAAATTCATGAGAAACCATGTCCAACACAGACTAGTGGTTTTATTATGTAATTCAATGGGCTTCTTGAGCTCATTGTTGATTGCATCATACCTTTTGTTCTTAAAATTGCTTATTGGGTCTGTTTGATGCATTTAATTATGTACAGCCATAAAACGACCGGTTTCTATGGTTAGGGGTATAGTGCTTTCTTTTCCTTTTTTTTCGTTGAGAATGACTTCCCCCTTTCTTGCCAACCAAATAGTTCTTTTAATCTGTCACTGGCTCTGTACTTAAGCACAGGCCTTTTAGTGCCATAAGAAAAGATCACACTAATGTAGCTGGGCTAAATGTCAATGTTTTCTCCCAAACCTATATTTCCAATATAGATAACGTAAAAGCTAATTTTAATAGCATTGATCTTCCTTTATTTACAAATTTCTTCTCTCTCATAGCCTATGTATTTTCTTGAGGAGTTGATGATCAGTCTCTCCTCTTGTAGGTTGCTGCAACTTCTGATCTAATGCTTGCATATGTGGATTTTTTCCTTGGCGGTGATGAAAAAAGGGATGACCTCCCTCCTCGTCTTCATCAGAGATTTCCAATGTCTGTTGTTTTTGGGGGAGATGGATCTTATATGGCTCCTTTTTCTCTTCAGAGTGATAACATTCTTACTTGCCTAATAAGCCAGGTTACTCTCAGATGCTGATTACCATGATTGCTACTAGGGTTCTGTTGAATCAAATTGTATCCCTTTCTTTTCTGCTTGTGGTTCTGCTGAAGGCCCACTGACTGTTCTTAGCTCCACATTGCAGTCAGTTCCACCTACAATATGGTACCGACTAGTGGCTGGTCTAAATGCCCAGTTGCGTCTAGTTCGCCGTGGTCATTTCAGGGCCACTTTTAATCCAGTTATCTGTTGGCTAGAGACACATGCAAATCCCACATTGAAATCCCATGGTGTGCGTGTTGATCTGGCTTGCTTCCAACCTTCAGCTTCTGGTTATCGCCAGTTTGGACTTCTTGTATGCGCTATTGAAAGTGAAGCTTTAAGATCTGCAGTTGATAGACCAGATAAACATAGCTTACTTGAGAAACAGTCAAGGTAACAAACTCATATATATATATATATATATTCAAATATCATTGATACCTGAAATTGAGGTCCCTAACTTCTCCTTTTTGTTTAACTGTGCAGCTTGCCGGGTACTCGTTGGAGGAAAGCACTGGATCTTGTGAGAGTCAATGAACCTGCAATATCACATAAAAGGATATCTGAAGAAATTTTGATCACCAAGAACCTTCGGATGCTTAATGAGAAGATGACTATTAGTTTTCCTTTCTACTATATAATTCGCAATACAAAACCCATAGGACATCAGGCATGATTTTACCTGCCCAACCATCTTTTATGAAACTTTTCTGATTTAGGAGCTCTCTCTCTCTCTGAGCACATGCATGTCTCTGAGCATAAATAAGGCTGTCTTTCTCACTTGTTTGAATTATTGCAGGATCTTGTCGGTTTGGTAACATCAGTGCTTCTTCTAGGAGATGTTAGCTTAGTCTTGCTTACTCTGCTTCAGCTATACTCCAGTTCAGTGTTGGACTTCTTTTTGGTCTTGTTTATTCTTCCTCTCGGCATTCTTCTTCCATTCCCAGCAGGAATCAATGCATTATTCAGTCATGGACCTAGGCGCTCAGCAGGTTTCATGCGTGGATATGCACTATGGAATATTACCTCAGTGATAAATGTTGTAAGTAGCATTGTACCGATTGCCTCCCCCTAAAGAAAAAATCTCTGCCTTTTTCCCATTATTTGACCTGTATTCACTTTGAGTGTGTGTTAATTGATGAACTTGGTACCATAATTTTTCCTGAAACTCTCGATTCTCGAATACACCCATATGAACTATTCATTCATAAGACCTATGACTACTACTATTTATACATGTCCTTTCGATCTTTTTCTTGAACATTTAAACTGGTCTGAAGTTAGAAAAGGTTTAAGCACTAGCATTATGCAAGTGCACGGTATGTGTAATCCTTATCTAAATTTGACTTGCATAATTTAAATACGGATCTTTTCCTTAATTGATTACTGCCGCGGATGCTGAAAGAAACTTACACTTGACACCATGCAGCTTGGCCTCTCTAGATTCTTGAAAGAAATCCACACTTCACTTTTTCTTGTTCATTGAGATTATGGGAGAGGTCGTCAAAGTTCAAATCTTCTGTGTCAAATGTATTTGTCTGCCGTTTCATGATAAGGTTCCACTTGTCTATGCTCCTTAAATATGATGCTTATTGTCTTTTTTGTGGTTGATATCAGGTGGTTGCATTTGTATGCGGATTTGTCCATTTTAAGACCCAATCCTCATCAAATAAAAAGCATTGGAACATTCAATCCTGGAATTTTACCCTGTAAGGATCTCTTGTTTCTGAAGTTGCAATCAGCAACTGAATGGCTTATGTCTCTGTTATTAGCAGAATTTAACCTGTGTTGTGCTGTTGCAGGGATGAAAGTGGATGGTGGATGCTTCCTTCTGGACTGCTCCTGTGTAAAATATTCCAGGCGCGGCTGATTAATTATCATGTGGCAAACCTTGAGGTCCAAGATCGGACATTGTACAGTAATGACCCTGATGCATTCTGGAGGTCGTGAACCTGTGTCTCAGAGCTGGCTGCCCAATATGTCTTCCCCGTTTCTAACTGTTTTTTGCCTTTGTATCCTTCATTAAATGTGATCTAATGGACTGGCCAGTAGTGTACAGGACTGCAAAGTATGGGGTACTCTTTAGTAGTAGGTAGTTTTTGAATATAGATAATGAGGGCGTGCATCAATTTTTCGTTCTGCAGTCTGTTTTGCGAGTTGTACCAATGTAGATATGTACGTTATACGTGTACTGGTTCGGGCATTCTCATAGACAAAAAAGAAAACATCGAATATGGCATTGTCAAGTGTGCAGCTTTTTGTTTTTCCTTTCGGCTGAAGCTAAGGAATGTAAATGATTGGAGCATCCATTAAGCCGATTAACTCAATTTTGTCTATTTGGCAAAGTGGAATTTGACGATGCAGATCGGATTTACAGTTGCATTGCCATTCACTTGGAATTGTTAGTTATTGAGCCTCGGATAGCTTGGATCGTGTAGCTTGGGCAATATAAACAAAGGCAAAAAATTTCAGCGGTCACTAAACTATTGGTCGGATCATATTTTGGCCATCAAACTATTTTTCATCAGTAATTGATTACTAAATAACTTAATTATTAAATCGTTGATCATTTGGTGATAATTACTTTTAATCTGTGAAATTAGCAATACAAGTGGCAAAACATGAAAGCAATTTTGTTCAATAACTATGCAACCGATTTTCTAAATTGGGATATTTGGAATGGGTGGAATTGGCAAGACAACTCTCGCCCAAAAGGTATATGGGGACTGCTCCGTCTGCCGCCATTTTGATTGCTTTGCTTGGGCTCCAATGGGTAAGGACTTCCGCACCAGAAAAATTTTGGAGGATTTGCTGCTGCAACATGTCTGCCGGGCCAGGGAATGACATGGCCCCATTTTCAGACTTGGACTTGGCTCAGAAGCATTACTAGTTCATGCAGTCCAAGAGAGTCTTGATTGTTTTGGATGATGTCTGCTCTGCCGATGCTTGGTAGTGCCTCTACATTGCACTTTCGTCCCGAGAACCAACTGCCAGCAGAGTGCTGCTCACCACTCGGGACAACGGATTTGCGGACAAGATTGCTTCTTCATCAGCCGACAACAAAGGATTCGTTCACCGGATGAGGTTTCTTAACCCAGGCTGGGAGCTTCTCCACAAGACGGCTTTTAGAGGTCGCTCTTCTTCTGGCAAAGGCGTCATTTCTAGAAAAAATCTTACCTCTCTTAAAGGGCATATCACATATCTTCTTGCTGGTTCCAATTTGTCCATGAGGTCTTCATTGTTGCTGTTAATCCGCAGGAGCATCTAGGTATAGGTTTAGGAGAGCTCCTCGATGTTCTTTGTATTCTTTTTCAGCTTCTTTGATTTGTGGCTGAAGATTTAGGGCTCCCAATTGAGTCTCTGTTTTTCCCTCCACATTATGTTCCATTCGGTGATTGTTTGAGGAAAGAAATTAAGAGGAGAATACGGTCAAGTAGTTGCTGGACTTTGCCACGTGTATTATTAATTTTTCAGAGTAAAAGTAATTATCTATCAAATGATTACAAATTTACTGATTAAATTGTTTAGTGATCAATTATTGACGAAATATAATTTGATGGTCAAAACATGATCGGACCAATAGTTTAGTGATCGCTGAGATTTTTTGTCCTATAAACAATTAAACTATCCTTCTTTCTAAAACACAATTAAATTTGAAAGTAATGGTAATTCTTGGGATGACGTGTGTACGTACCAGCGAGTAATACTTCTGCATTATTGGTGGGTAGCGAGTTTGTTTGAGAAGATAAAAAGGGGAGGATACAAATCTAGCAATTGAAATGAAGAAAATGGGCGAGAATTCTGAGTTCTGAGGTCGAATAGTGTTAACTAGGTGGCCCATCTGGTGAGGGAACTCATCTAATGTTCTGTTTCTACAATAAGTTGTACTGTTCAAGTGCTTGTCCTTTTTATATATTTTTTTAATTTTTATCAGTAACGATAACAGTTTGTATAATCTATTCTAACCTAATCTAAGAAGAGGGCAGGGAGAAGTCACAATTAGTGGTTGGTGGGAGGCAAGGATTGAACCCTTAATCTCCCACCTCGATCAAGACTTTAAAGACATTTTGGTGACCAACGGCCCCTTGGACTGTTGATTGTTCAAGTGTTTGTCGCTTAGCAAGAATTTTAGAAACATATAAATTTGATTTAGAATAATTTTATATACATTGACAGTGTATACGTTATCACTGTTAGATCAGTGTATATTCTATCACTGTTAAATCTATGTCACGTACGTAAAAATTGAATTTTAAATTTAATTGTGTATAGTTGTCATTCATTTAACACTGACAATACATTCACTATCGAAAGATTAATTTTTTAATTTAGGGCAAATCTTATATATAATAATAATGCATGAATATTAGTGTAGCACTATATGAAGTGTAAAGCTCTCCACTATCCAAACTATTATTATTGAAATTTTAATGCCTTTTAAGCAACGGTGGAGGACTGCACACCCAAAAAAAAAAAAAAAATCGAACTCATGTGCCGTACATAACTATTATTTTGTCATCACGTGATCTATAAATAATTTCAGATACCTCATCCAAATCAACACTGAGAAGTTTCCCATTGGAGAAAAGTCCAAACAACATCACAGAACTAAACCAAATTTGATTCGAACTAATTGGTTAGGTTTGATCAAGTTTGCATTACCTGAAAGTAGCAATAAATGTACGTGTCCTGGCGGAAAAAAATGCCTCGATGTCTGACTCAAAATGTGTACATGTATAGCACCTGAATGTCTCTGTCACTTTTGACCCACGCGCTGTTGATTTTTATTACCGCAAGAATCAGTTGCCTTGCTTCTTTGTAATTAGATCAACATTTGCAATGGCTGAGAGAACCCAAAGTCGTAATTTTCATCCGATTGAGAAGAATAAAAAGACGTGATGATGTCCGACCGATGTTCATCGACGCAAGAATAAAATAATACTAACCAAGAAAGATTAAATGTGTACTCTACGTAACAAAAAGAAGAAGAAAACGAAAGGGCGGGCTCGCACACGTAAGCACACACAACTTATAGCTTCACTCACAGAACAAACTAAATTTTCAAGTTTCAACCTCGAGGGCCAGTTAAAGAAGTCAAAGGCACAAAATCCCTGGCAAATGGGTCTAGACTAGAGCATGAAGCCCCTGGCGGCGGAGAGAGTGGCGCGTGAGAGTATAAAATTAAAAGTGGTGCAGATATTTTCCGGGATTCCACCAGATTCCCATCTTATTCAGCTCACCAGCGTCCTTAATAAATGGAGCTGACATTTTATGCTCTACATACAATTTATACAGCAACACAACAAGAAAGGAAGCGTAGTGCCAACTCAGCCTCCCTCCACACGACACAACCCACCAACAGCAACAGCAATCCCACTCCTAAACTTACAAAAGCAAAGACCCACCTTACAGCTTTAATCAATTAATAAAAGCACTCTGTTTTGGTCATTACCTTCCAGCTGGAGAAGCAGCAATGAGGCAGCAGCACAGCCTGGAAGCTCCATTATTGGTTGAGAGTGGAAATTCCATCAGGAAGAGATACTGGAGAACAGTTCTGTCTTTTTTGCTTGCTCTTATTGGCTTAACATGTGAGTGTCGATTCTATCCAATTTGATGCTAAAACTTGACGTTTTCATTGGACTCTTAATTGGATTTTTCTTGATATACCTTAGTTCTGGATGGCCTGTGTACTCTGCAAGACACACTAAAACTAGAACAGGGGGGCCATGATCAGTCATTGAATTCCCCGGTGGGATGGGTTGGGGACATGGGTAGCTTTGTCATCGTCACCAGGGACGCTAATCTTCTGTGATGAGTAACAGAAGAATCGTCCCTGATATTAATAATTCAAGATTCTCGTAATCATTTTGTTTTAATTGTTTGCCACATGAAGCCCTCTTCAGACGCCTGGCCTTAGTTAATTTTACCGTCTATTGGTGCTCTTGTTCTGGTTACTCTTATCATATGGTAATCCATCATACTTAAAATCGAGTAATACTATAACTGGATAGCTTTTGAATAATCTGTTATTGTTCTTTTTGGGAGAAATTATCTCTTGTATTGGCAAAGGCTAATCCATCCAAGAGGAGGGGTTATGTGATCAAGGTGCGCCTATTCGAGTTGAATTCTTTGCATGGTATTCATGATTGCTAACAATAACTGGGCAAACACATGGCCGGACTGGATTCTGAAAAGAACCTTGTGCTAAAGTTGTCTGGCTGCTACAGGTTTTAAAGTGATTTAGTTTTTACCCCACATAGCCATTTTTACTAGACTGCACTATGAATTGCTACAGACATATAAGTTTGTATGTTTTGCTATCACCTTTATCCGTTGAATCTACAGTGTTAGATACATGAATTTCCTGTTTCTTTATAGTACTCCTGCATATTTGGATGTTTCACCATTTAGCTTCTCTGTATGCATGTAGGTGTTGGTTTGATACTGCGAGGCAATTCAAGTTTTTGGGTAGTAGTGAGAGATGGAAACGAATTTAATGAGAGACTGCAGTTTGGAAACACTGAAATTGTTGAGTCTCAGCAAGCAGTTGTTGCAGCTGATGATGGCCGTTGCTCAGAAATTGGAGTTTCAGTACTTGCAGAAGGTGGGCATGCTGTTGATGCTGCAGTTGCAACTGCACTTTGCCTTGGAGTTGTCAATCCAACGGCCAGCGGGATAGGAGGCGGAGGTTTCATGGTTGTTCATTCTTCAACAACATCAGAATCCCAAGCATTTGACATGAGGGAGACTGCTCCGTTAGCTGCTTCCCAGGTACATATTTCTCTCCACTTTTACAGGATAATTTACCTAGTTCATACTATAATTTTTTTATATGATACGGACTATTGCAATGTATACTAGTTTTATACCTCATAGTCTAGGTTGGATTCATTTGACTGCGGTATTGTTTTTTGGGCAATCTATTCTTTGAAAACTTTGGATCTTAGTGGTTGAGCTTTCTTAATTTGTTCAATTTTGGAAATATATTATCAGGACATGTATGACACTGATGTTAATGCAAAATATAATGGAGCACTGTCAATGGGAGTTCCTGGTGAGCTAGCTGGTTTACACGAGGCTTGGCTTAAATTTGGGCGGTTGCCGTGGAAAACTTTGTTTCAACCCGCCATCAAACTTGCCAAAGAAGGGTTTGTGGTTGCTCCATACCTTGGATCATACCTTGCTCGTAAAATGAATATAATACTAACTGATCCTGGCTTAAAACAAGTGTATGCACCAAATGGCAAATTGCTGAAAGCTGGTGAAATATGCTACAATGTGGAACTTGGCCGCAGCCTAGAGGCAGTAGCACAACAAGGTCCTGAGGCCTTCTACAATGGAACAATCGGTGAAAAGCTGATTGAGGATGTGCAAAAAGCAGGTGGAATTTTGAAAATGGAGGATTTAAGGAACTACAGAGTGGATGTTACTGGTGCAGTTTCTGTCAACACAATGGGCTACACGATCTTAGGAATGCCACCTCCATCAAGTGGGACGCTGGGAATGTCTCTGGTATGCTTTCTCTTTCTATTAATTGGACGATACGCAGACTCAGATTTGTATAGCTCAACAGTCAATGAATTCATATCGGTTGAACAAGTCGTTTTTGGTGGAACATTTTGACTGTTGCGTTGGTTCCCCTGAAAAGAACATAGTCCTAACCTTTTGCCTTGAGATTTTGACATTTAGTTCAGAAACTTCTGATTAATTTACTACCTGCATGCTGTGGCAAGACTGCATTTTAGTTTGGATGAGTGGCAAAACATAGTCCATTTTTTGTTACCTAAATGTGTCTGCAATTGGTGAAATTTTAGGTGCTGAACATCTTAGACAGTTATGCTAGTTCAAATGCAGCAGAGGGTCCTTTGGGTCTTCATCGTCTGATTGAAGCTTTAAAACACATGCTTGCTATCCGCATGGACCTGGGTGACCCCGACTTCGTAAATATCAGTAAAACCGCATCTGACATGCTCTCCCCTGAATTCGCTAAGAAAATACAGCAACTGATATTCGACAACACCACTTTCCCTCCTGAATACTACATGCACAGGTTGAAAGAGCTATATTGGATCCTTGAATATCAGATTGTACATTCTCACTTCAAATTGCTAACTTGTAGCCATCATACTATTTCCAGGTGGAGCCAGCTTAGAGATCATGGAACCAGCCACTTCTGTATTGTTGATGCAGACCGAAATGCTGTATCAATGACGACCACAGTGAATTATCCCTTTGGTGCTGGGGTGCTATCTCCTTCGACTGGCATCGTGCTTAACAATGAAATGGGAGATTTCAGCGTACCTACAGAGATATCTTCCGATAGGCTCCCTCCTGCTCCAGCCAACTTTATTAGACCAAACAAGAGACCATTATCTTCAATGACCCCTATAATCGTTCTCAAGGTAGAAGAACGTTCTATGCTGAATTATGTTTTTCATTCCACTTGCTGCTTATCATTTCTGTGATTACAAAAAAGCATTACAGAGACATAGCAATGGTCTGTCTCAGCGTTTCTATGTCAACTGATTTCATTACTAAACAATTCTTTTATGGATAATTGTCATCAGCATAATCAGCTAGCTGGAGTGATCGGAGGAAGTGGAGGATCAGACATAATTCCGGCTGTGGTCCAAGTGTTCATTAACCATTTTATTCTGGGAATGGAGCCTCTAGCTGCTGTTCAGAGTCCAAGAGTTTACCACAAGGTCGAATTGATTGGCTTACTACGAAAAATTAATTTACTAAATAACCTGCTGCCGATCATACGTTAATTTATTCTTGGTTTTCTACAGTTAATCCCGAATGTCGTTTTGTACGAGAACTGGACAGTTTTGGATGGGGATCACATCGAACTCTCAAGTGAGAATAGGCACTTCTTGGAAGAAAGGGGTCACCAGCTACAGGGTAGATCAGGCGGAGCAATCTGCCAATTTATAGTTCAAACCCTTCAAAGGCCAAGGGATGGGGGTCGGAAATTTGGGAAAATGGCGAACAATGAGGTAGTTCATGGAATTCTTACAGCTGTTAGTGACCCTAGGAAAGACGGAAGGCCTGCAGCCATCTGATATTCTCACTCGGTTAAAACCAAAAAAACTGTACAAATATGGCTGAGGGCTTAATCCTATTTCTGCAGCTTGCTGCGTTGTAAATTAGGCAATGATTCCTTATATATCATTCAGCAACAGCTAGCTATGGCAACTATGATTATTTTGAAAAAGAGAGAAAAAAAGTCGAGTGTAGAATTGAATGTGTTTCTTTAAAAGTGCATAAAGAAATGGTGAAAGTTTCAGAGTTTGGTACAAGGCTCGGCAGTGCATACTGTTATTGACGCCTAACTTCTGGTTGAAATCTCAAACTTACCAAAAATAAATGTCCAACTCCAATTTATTTCTGTAACACCAATTACAGGATGACACACTACAAGCCTCTAACCAGCTCACCCTCCCATGTTCACTTCATGGATTAGAACTCGATGACATCTACAAAACAATCAATTGCGTCTCTAATATAGATAACGACTGAACAAGTGGATAACAACAAAAAAAAAAAAAGAAGGAAATTACACAAACTCTTCGTTATAGCTGCAACATCTTTAAAAACGAGTTATGAAGCTTTTTCCAACAGCTGTATTGGGCCCAAAATGTTAGACTTGCTAGTCTCAACGATACACCCGTTCATAACCATTTCCTCCAACATAAAGTGTGCTTTCTCCAGATGGAACATGATATCCAGCTCACACTGCAATTACATGAAAGAGTTCATTCAAAGCGAAGGTAACCAAAATAAAGAGAAATTTGCCAGAGAAACTTATTGAGATAAATTGAATCATCAGTTTTTTAGTTTCAAAACTCACCACATTACCAAAATGCCGATCCATGGTTTCAACCAACAGGTGTATGAACTCTAAAATTGCAAGTTCATTCTGCAAGAGTAAAGATTAAGGAAAAGAATGAAAAACAATACTCAGAAAAGGTTCCATAACAATACGGCAATCTCAGGGCATGTGAACTAGGAAAGACAAAAACCTATTCCATATTCACACGAAGGGATTCACAGATTTGTTCAAAACAATAGCATGAAAACCTATTCTACTACTGTACCCCATCTGAACTACCTACACACCACTGGACTTTTCAAGTAAAGGATGATAAAATTCCCTTCAATGAAATCGAAACAACCCCTGACACACTATACAGCGGATATTTCAGGTGCTTTTCTTGTAGGGCAGACACAAGACATGCATCTAAGCAATTAACTAGTCAAATAGAGATGCATGACGATAACATTCCACAAGCAAAGAAAACAAGATAATTGGAAGTAAATCACCTTGTCTAGAGTTAGCCAACAATGCACTATGTAACATCCCAAGTAGAGGCATGCACGTTGACACTAAGAGTTGAATTTTGATGTGATATGAAGTTTTAAGAATGAGAAAGACTAATAATAAACACCTTCTAGGACCCTCTCAAAGTTAACTAAGCACCAGATCTTGCAAAACAAGTGCTAAGGTCAGGTACCCCTTTCAAGGTAAAGCAAAATGCAAATGCAGACAATGACAATAGCACTGCCCAAGCTGAAACAAAGTATTATCATGCCCATAAAGAAGATTGTAGCCATCATCATGTAGGTTGACAGATCATTCAAAACAAGAAGTTCTATTAAGAATCTGAGGTACATGAGATTAATGTCAACGAGAACCATTATACATGTTAAAGAGATAGAATAGCTTACTTCTTCATTATCAACTCCGACCAGAAAAAACAGGGATGCATATCGCCGGTAAACAATCTTGTAGTTCCGATGCTCAACAAATGAACACTGTAATCAATTAACAAAGTAGGGACCAAAATGACTCAAAGATTCAGATAGCGTTAAAACTAGCAAAAATAAACAACAATTCTGTGATAAAAAAGAGGGGGTCTGGAAGGGGGAGGGTATTTGGGCAGTCCACCAAATGATGAACATTACAAATGGCACTAAAAGCTATATTCAGTTTGGCCAGAAAAACATCAGATTCTATTAGCTGCTCTTGATCTAAAGGGGAATGGAGTGGAGACAGCTGATTTTCCAATGATGAAAGAGCCAAGCTTGCAGGTGAAATCAGTAAAAGAAGCAATCACAAAATCTATAAAGTACTCCGTAAGCTGATATCAGAAAAAGGCGTGGACTTTACAATCGAGAGAAGATTACAAGCACAGGAGAGAGGAATCAGAAAAAGGATCAACATTTTCATCTTCTCTAGCAGACAAACAGTAATGAAAAACAAAAAGAAAGAAGAAGAAACTGGGTGTATCCCCGAAGAAACACACAGATGATTGCATCATTAACAAATTATTAATGGAATTCCAGAAGACAGATTTTAAAGGCAGAAAGGAATCATCGTCGAGAATTTGAGCCAAAGGACACCCCATTAAAAAGTCATCGAAGAAATCAATTATAATAATGCATAAATCAAAGAGAGAGAGAGAGAGAGAGAGAGAGAGAGAGAGAGAGAAGGCGGGGAACCTGTTGCTCAGTGCGAGCGAGGCATTTGCGGACGATTTCGCCTTCAAGGGCACGTCTTTCTTCAATGGTGAGGTACTCGTAGTACTGGGCTAGCCTTGTCTGCCCTTGCTTGTTCACCATCAGTATGAATCTTATCCCCATTCTTATTATTATTATTCAGTAAAAGCTAATTTAAATCTCAACAAAAAGATGATGAGAAGAGGAAGAAAACGGGAAGTTGGCTGGCGGCAGCCACGGATTTAAGGGGGGGCTGGTGGGGGCTTAAGCCCCCCCCCAAGCCGCCGGAAAACCCCCTATATATAGGGGATTCCGGCGGCCAGCATGTACAAGAATGTTTTCTAAGCCAACAGTATTCCCTCTAACAACATGTTTCTATGTATTTAATCTGACTTCCCCTTCCTTCTTCCCGATCCCACTTTCCCTCGCTCCTCCCTTTCTTTCTCAGAGGTTGTTGAGATTGGGTCTATCTTTGTCTTTGTGTAAGATTTCCAGGTTGCATATGTAGTGGTATTTGTTGTTTTACATAGTGGTAGATGAATAATCTTCAATTCTTCAACGTCATTTATTACTGCTTGCTAAATAATAGGCTAAGCTGGAGCAGGAGAACAAGATAAAATATTTTACATGGAGATTTATTGTGGGGGAAAAAATTATCTTACAGCAGCCATCGATGTTTTTTTCCCCCTTATTTGCATAGCATGTCTTGATCCAAAAAGTTCTTTCTCTCAATTCAATGTGCAGAAACTACTCCGTCTTGCTGATTTATATCCTGAAAACTTCTCAAGTAACGATTATTTATATCTTGAGTCTCAACTTCGAAATTATATTTATAATGTGCAACGCGATCCTCAATTTTCAGAAGTTGGAGATTTGGGAAGTCTTGCTCAACAAATGGTTAAAACTGGTAAAAATACAGTTTTTCCATTGGTTTATCGTCTGATCCAGTTGGCATTAGTTCTACCAGTTGCGACTGCTTCTGTTGAAAGAGTATTTTCTGCAATGAATATTGTCAAGACTGATTTGCGCAACAAAATGGGAGACGAGTGGATGAATGACTGTCTGGTTGTATACATCGAGAAGGATATTTTTGCAACAATTGAAAATGAGCAAATATTGCAGCGTTTTCAACGGATGAAGACTTGCAGAATGCAATTGCCTCCTCTTCGTTATTCGAGTGCAACAACTACCAATACTTCAAATGTTAATCAATAACAAATTTTTGGGTATGTATAATTATATGTTTTTATTATTTTTATAATTATTGATTCTAAATTTTACTTATTAAATATATTTATTTCGTCACAAAAAAAAATTTTTAATACACTTCAGCCCCCCCAAAAATAAATTTCTGGCTCCGTCCCTGGCTGGCGGATGGAACCGGAACCCGCCGCAGGCTTCTTCTTTAATTTGATTGATTGCTCTCCGTCGGGTCTTTGCCTTTGGATGCTTCAGAATTTGGACTCTGTGTCGGTCCGAAGTCCCTTTTACTTTACTGTTGCTTGTCATGTTACTTTTGCCCTTTTTTTTTTTTTTTGTGGGGGCCGCCCGCGGGGAGGCGGGGGGGGGGGGGTGGGTGGGTTTGGGGTGCTCAGTACTCACTTCAATGAAACGGAAATTTTGAAATTTTTTTTTTAAAAAAGAGGGATGAACATAAATGTGGGTTAGTGTTCATAAATTATCAAAATATTTTTGTTCTAAGTAAAATTACAAATTTATCTTTATGTGCACGTATTAGCATACATTTGTATATGCACATTACTGACATTAGAGTATATATATATTTATATATACATATGTATGTATGTATGTATATGCATGTGTGTTCATATATGCATGCATATATCGTTTAAATTTGTATATTTGGATGAACACATATACTCATCAAGATATACACATTATTTTTATTCGTTAAGGTGTATGTTTTCATTCCATAGAATGCAAAATATTACGAGAGTAATTTAATCATTTAGCAATAAATTTATTAGTTATATTAATTCGTGAATGGTAACCATCTCTCATTTATAAATTTTACAAAACTTACCACATTACTGATAAATTTTTAATCTTTCGATTCCCTCTTTCGAAATTTTTCCTAACAAAACCATTTTTTTTTTTTAAAAAAAAACCCCAATTACTCCAATTCATGGCACAATTCACGCTTTTATTTTATTTTATTGTTTGTGTGTGTGCGCGCGCGCGTGGATGTAGAACTTATGCTTAAAGGTCAAATATACAATCCGTATATTTTGTTGCTTAAAAGTCAACTGGATTCTAGTCTCACGATTAGCCAAGCCCAAATAAAGCATCTGCTCGATAAAATGAGAAAGAAAACGAATATATAATAATTATGTGTTGTTGCCATTTTTATTTATGGCACAAAATTACATTCCGCTAGCACACCTCCAATAGGCAATAGGGAGGATCTCAATTTGGGTGGGTTTGTTTGGAACCACCTAATACCAATTAGTCACTGAACTGAATGGTTATAAAGCCAAGTGCAATACAACTTCTGCCGTACAAACCGAAACACCTATATCGCGCGCATCAGGTTCGGTGCAGCTCAACATGCGACCTTCTTCCTGTTTATGGGATTCTCATCCAGCAACCGAGGAACTACTTCTTCCTTGTCTTTCTTGGCATTTTCTATTATATCTCTTGTCAAGAAGCTTGGTTGATTCGTTGATGAAAGAAGTCTAGCCCACATCCTATCCGTTATCACAACCTTGTGCTGTCTCTCATTGATTCGCTGCAGATTCCATCCAGAGGAGGCAGCAGTTTATCGTCATTTATAAACACAAGTAAGATCAAATCAAATCATAAAGAAACACGGTAGTCAAAAGCTATCAGCATCCTATAACTAAAAGAGTTTGTTCTGCATCGGTGCACAAAAGAGCAGCTCAGTATTCGTGTATGGTTCTCAGCATTCATGCACGTCTTTTTTTATTTTTGGTTAATGTGTCGTATGTCATGCTCATCTTCTAAAGACACAATCCACTTCACGCTAATCTTCATTGAATGAAACTATTGGAATCCAACAAATAAGGTCCTCATTCAACAAAAAAAGCCTTGTAAATAGTTACTGAATCAGACATGAGGAAAGCTAAAGTGGTGTCTATGCACGCACGTCTAGGCCTGTGGTTTGGAGAACAGACAGATTTCAAGGATTAAAAAGCAAAACCATATTCAGGGGCTTGCAGCATCCAGATTTGCAGTGCTGCTTTGCGCCACTGTTTGTATAACTACATCTATGATGATAAGATGGATTTTAGAGGATAAGCAAACATATGTAACAGGTGTCAAATCACTATATATGGACAACTAAAATGTTTTTAACCTGAGCCTAATGATTATTTATTTGAATCATGAGCATTTTAATGCAACAATATGACTTACATGGAATGGTATGTAACAGTGCCTGCCGTTGACAGGCCCTACTGTGAAGCCTGTGTACCCTGCCATTGCTCCATGAACAGCACTTTGAGCCAGAAGAGTGCAGTAAACGTTGTCTGATGCATTGCTAGGAATGGCTCGGATCATATATGTGGGATCTGTCGCAGATCCAGCGAAGTACTTGGTCAGACTTCAGAGCAGAATATACTAGTAGTAATTTTTATCATATATAAGGGGAAATTTCAAGGTACCAACCTATATATTTGAGATTAATTGCCATCTTCTGTTCTTTAGCAAAATGATTCTGCAAGAGAGAGCCATGACTTTCTCAGCTCAGTCAAACTAATTTACACAGCACAAACGATGATTAATGCACCAACATAATTTACTACTTTAGTTTTAAAGAGCCCCTGATTACAATCAAAACCTTAATTCCTAGTTATGAGAACTATATTGCTAAATGCAGCAAATAATCAGTTCAGAACTATGCATCAGAAGCCATACCTTGATGCTTTGAGATATCCACAATCCAACATCTTGTAAAAGCTTATTTCCAGAAGCATCCTGCTGATCAGTAGATTGCAGACTCTGAGAGAGTAGCTCTTGCCCTGCACCTTCTGCTGTCACAATTACCATGTGCCCTTGCTCTTTGAGTCGTTTCTCAATGTATTCATAAAGTCCACCAGGACCGTCAAGATAAAATGGTGATTCGGGAATCAAGCAGCAATCGACATCTCGACTAGCAAGAGTCGCATGCATCGCAATGAACCCTGCATTAAAGACCATTGAGAATGTTACACAAGCAATTTCACAGAGCATAACATGATGTGCTGTTGGGAAAATATGATGATCCTTCTGGAAATATAAACAGTTAAGATTATCTGATGGCAAACCGTGAAGAAACGGTGAATGTTCGGAGGGAAAACCAAATGATGCCCCAACCCCAATTAGTACCATATGTGTTACAAAACATGTACTCCAACTTTGCATATTACACTACACTGCAGCTAATTATCATTTGCACACTGAGGTCTTGACTAAGGACCTTTTCTTGCATTTTCTAATGCAAGATTGTTTGGCAAAAGAGTACAGATTATTTGATGTATTCGCCAAACAAACATCGAATTCTGGTATGAAGCTTACCGCTGTTCCGTCCCATTAACTTCACAACACCAATGCCATTCTCAACACTTGTTGCTTCCACATGTGCAGCATTAATAGCACGTTGAGCTTCCTCCACAGTAGAATCAAAACCAAAAGATTTGTCAATAACCTGCAAAAAGGAAGACAAAATTCTGAGTGCTGATAAACTGGTAATCAGCTGGAATTTATAAAGTCAGCGGCAATGTGTAGAAGGACGCTGATACAGCCACTCTTAACCTACAAACAAATTACCGGAATGTCATTATCAATGGTTTTCGGGACACCGACAACCGCAACTTTAAGACCTCGTTTTCTGATTTCCTGAGGAATGGACGACGGTATAAGTTGTAAAAGATCTAATTTACTAAAGGATTGAGAAAAGGAAGAGCGACACCTGAAGGATAGCAGCCATTCTTGAGTCACACAGATCAGAGGCTAGGAAAAACCAAATTCACCATCACATTAATTAGACATACCTCAAAAATAACACTAGCCCCCTTTTGCGTCCCATCTCCTCCAATAATATATACCTACATCAATGACAGCATGGGTTCTAGGATCAGGCAACAGATGCAAAATAAAAGCTCAGGCATATTTATTGTTCATACCTGATTGATTCCACGGTCCTGAATGCTGTCAACTATCTTTTTGGTGACATGGCCTCCGCGTGATGTTCCAAGAACTGTCCCACCACGTTTGTGGATATCATTTACAACCTTAGGTGTCAAGGATATTGTATTGCGGGAATAGAAACCCCGGTATCCTCCCTACAAATCCATCAATCTCATTTACAGTTGATACCACCGCAGAGAATAAATTGGTCAGCTTTTATAAAAACTGCTGCACAGAAGAATCCACTCACATCTATTCCCAGGACTCTATTTACACCATACATGTAGTTCAAGCCACAAACTATTTCTCTGATCACTGTGTTGAGTCCAGGGCATAAACCTCCACATGTAACGATACATGCACGTACTTCATCAGACTCGAAATGAACCTGGAAGCATTGTTGAAAAATCTTGGTTATCTACAACAAATTGGTCCTTATTTACGACAAATTTCACTCATGTCGAATATATAACATACTTTTTGGCGAGGACCTGCTCGTCGAAAATGTATCCCTCTTGGACCAGTTGCATGAACAACAACCTGCAGAAGAAATGATCAGGGAATATTAGACATGACAAGGACATTTGAATTGTAAAAACTTTGATACGCATGCTCATTGCCCATTGCTCATCTCCAAAACGGCACATTATCCTTCTACCTCAAAAAAATAAAAAACTAGCCCGCATGGCTGATCTTTGAGAATCTTTTTCGGTTCAAAGCAATTGGGTGGAGGCACTGCCTGGCGCCTTCTGGAGATGGAGGCACCAACTTCTATAAACACAAAGCGGTTTAGACTAATCTTTGCCTCCCCAAAACTCATTTAACGGAAGCAAAAAATGGTCAATCCTCATCAGCCGCAAGGGTTGAATTTATTGCTCTTACAAATTGAAAAGTGGAAGCTCAAAAACAGACTAACCTTTTGTGGAACGGTGTCATCAGCATTGACAAAGTACTGTCTGTAATCAGATATGGTAATCGTCAATATATGCAAGGTCCAGTCTTCTATGTAACTAAACAAAATTAACTGCTGAAGTTTTGTAATTGAGACTTGAAATTACTTACCTCAC